AATGTCTTCCATCAGCTTTGACATTTTTATGACCTGTTCTGAAAAGTCTACATTGTAAGGATTCTTACATTATGATTGTAAATTCTGTAGCCCCACTGAAAACCTTCCCCCATTGCTCACCCACCAGACTTATGGCCACAATAAAAAATTATCCAAGCAAATGACTATATAATAATGTCTTTGTATTACAAACTCTCTCTCTCTATATATATATATATATATATATATATATATATATATAAAATGTCTGATAAAATCTTAGTTCAAGTCATCAGTTCTCACATGTGTAAACTGGTTAGTATCTTCCTACATCTGGATATAAATTTTTTTTTTCAGAATAAATTCTCTTAAGTTCAGTTATTACAGACTCTACAACACAAAGTATTTTCTACAATACCACCTAATGTGACAATAGCCTATTGCTTTTGTGCTCATTCCAAAGAGAGGTGACCCAAAAGAATGCAGAAATCATTGGACAGTCTTTTTGATATCACATGTGAGTAAAGTTTTGCTAAAGGTAATACAGAAATGGCTGCAAGCATACATTGACAGAGAACTTCCAGAGGGTCAAGCTGGATTCAGAAGAGGATGTAAAATGAGGGATATATCATTGCTGATGTCTGATGGATCTTGACTGAAAGCAGAGAATACCAGAAAGATGTTTACCTGTGCTTATTGACTATGCAAAGGCTTTCGGCTGTGTGACTCACGACAAGCTATGAACAACATTGCAAAGTATGAGTATTCCTGAACACTTAATTGTGCTCATGTGGAATCTGTACCAGACCAAGAGGCAGTTGTTCGAACAGAACATGGGAACACTGAATGGTTTAAAATTAAGAAAGTTGTGCAACAGGGTTGTATTCTTTCACCATACTTATTCAACATGTATGCAGATCAAATAATCTGAGAAGCCGGGTTATATGAAGAAAAATGTGGCATCAGAATTGGAGGAAGACTCACTAACCACCTGCAATATGCAGATGATACAACCTTGCTTGCTGAAAGTGAAGAGGACTTAAAATATTTACTGATGAAGATCAAAGAGCACAGCCTTCAGTATAGACTGCATCTCAATGTAAAGAAAACAAAAAATCCTAACCAGTGAACCAATAAACAACATCCTTATCAATGAGAAAAGATGCAAGTTGTCAAGGACTTCATTATTCTTGGATCAACTATCAATACACATGGAAGCAGCAGTCAAGCAATCTAACAACGTATTGCATTAGGCAAATCTGCTGCATAAGACCTTTTTAAAGTATTGAAGAGCCAAGATGTCAGCATGAGGACTAAAGTGCACCTGACCTAAGCCATGATATTTTCAATAACCTCATATGCATGCGAAAGCTGGACAGTGAATAAAGAAGACTGTAGAAGAATTGATGCTTTTGAGTTATGGTGTGGGAGGAGAATATTGAAAGTTCCATGGACTGCCAAAAGAACCAACAGATCTGTGTTGGAAAAAGTGCAGCCAGAATACTCCTTGGAGGTCAGGATGGCCAAACTTCGTCTCTTATACTTCAGACTTATTGTCAGAAGGGACCAATCTCTAGAGAAGGATATCATGTTTGGTAAGGAGGAGGGTCAGAGAAAAAGAGGAAGACCCCCAGCAAGATGGATTGGCAAAGTGGCAACATCAACGGGCTCAAACGTGACACCAATTGTGAGGTTAGCCCAGGACCAGGCAGTGTTTCATTCTGTTGTACATAGGGTCGCTATGAGTCGGTATCACCTCGATGGCACCTAACAACAACAACATAGAGGGTTAAGGTCTTTATCTAAAAATTTTTTCTAATTTCTTTAAAAGAATTTTAACTTGAAAACTTTGTAAAAAGGAAAAGCTATTTCAAAACTATTTTTCAGATATGTGTCTTAATTTTCCATTTCATTCTATATGCCTAGAAAGGGACACCAGAAAACAAAAGCTCTAAAATAAGCTCTTAGGAGAATAAAGGAGTCCAGGAATAGTGCAAATGGTTAATGTGCTCTCCTGCTAACCATAAGATTGGAGATTCAAATCTACGCAAAGGTTTCTCACAAGTGATCTAGTTCCAAAATGTCAGCCAATTGAAAACCTTATGGATGACACGCATGGGGTCACTGGAAACTAGGTTTCTTGTTTTTATTTTTTGAGAGAATAAAAACTCTGCTCAGCAAGTAACAAGCATTAAATTGATAAAAATACAAAGAGCCAGAGGGTGTTTTAAAAGGAATAACCATCCTTCTTTAATCTTCTTACTGTAATAATCAATCTTAATCAATCTGAATATCTCTTTACTATTATTATTTATTATCTAAGGATCAGCACTAAGGAACTCTTGTAGCACAGTGATTACGAATTTGGCTGTGAACCTCAAGGTCAACAGTTCGAAACTACCAGCTGTTCTGCTGGAGAAAGACAAGGCTTTCTGCTCCGGTAAAGATTTACAGCCTCAGAAACCCTGTACAGGGTCACTATGAGTCGGAACTGACTCCATGGCACATAACAACAACAACAAGGATCAGCACTAGACTGCTAACCACAGGTTGTTGGTTCAAATCTACCAACCACTCCTTGGAAACCCTATACAGGGTGGGTCACTATGAGTTAGAAATGAGTCCACGGCACTTAACAACAACTTTGTTGTTGTTTTTAAGTGCCATTAAGTTGGTTCCAACCCACAGTGACCCTGTATAGGGTTTCTGAAGAGTGGATGGCAAGCTTGTACCACCGACCTTGCAGTTCAAACTGACTTTGCAGTCCAGTGCATTAACCCACAACACCATACCAGGACTCCAACAACAACTATAAAGGAAATGAAAAGAATATGAGCTGAGAATAGAAGTCTTTTAGCAGAACACGGTGGACAAACACTGCCTATATTTTATTGACAATAATAATAATAATAAATATTGCTGTTGACCAAACCAGAATGGAATTGGCATTTTTAGAATAGTGCTCCTTTATTTCTAATGTAGGAACATGAGATGAATCAATTCTGTGAATTAAGCATGCACACACACACACACACACACCGTCAAGTGACTACTGCTGTGACCACACTACTGTGGGCGTCTGAAATCAAACATTCCAAGTCTAGCTACAGCCTTTACTTGGTTTTTCCAAAGGAGTTATTTATCTAGCCTCAGTTTCTATTAGCAGTTAAGAGATGGCTTTGGGCAATACTCATTCTATATGCCTTCAATTCCTCCCTATGTAAGCATTCTTTTGGGACTCACAGTAGCCAAAAGGGCTCAATGGTGGGAAATGGGATGATCTGTTCTGACTGGAACAAGGGCACACAGAGTGGTCTTGCTAGCAGAGTTTTCTGTTCACAAGAGAGACATTCAAAAATTCATGTTAAGTTTTGTAGTTTAACAAGTTTGGAGAAGAGTATATTCTGAATCTTCTCCTGGGAATTTCACAATGCACATTGTCATACTAAAAGTCATGAAAAGCCATGAATAACTTTATAATACCATAAAAGCACAAATTCCAAGTTCATTTGACTATAAACTTATATTTCCAGTAACATCATTTAAATGTTGAAACATAATTTGGGAATAGTTTGAGACTATTCTGTATTTAATAGCTGTATTGCATCAAATTCAGCCACAAGACAACCCATTTTCCCAAATCCAAGAATTGCTGCTCAACAAGATGCTTTGTTGTTGTTGGTAAGTGTCACCGAGTCATTTCAGACTCAAGGCCACCCTGTATAGGGTTTCCAAGGAGAGACTAGTGAATTTGAACTGTTGACCTTGTGGTTAAGCACCACTCTGGTGCTTATTCTTCAGCAATAAACCAGGACTCTCAACAAGGTGCTTTTGTTGTTGTTGTTGGTAGATGCCATCGAGTTGGTACTGACCCATAGCGACCATATATATGCATAGCAGAACGAAACACTGCCCAATCCTGGGTGTTAGTGCTAGCGTAAGTTAAATTAGACACTAAACTGTAAAATAATATGGAATTTTTACCTTAATATACGGAAAGCCTATTTTTGAAATCAATACAGAGAAAAGCATTTTTCAGATTGCACTTATTAATAGGCCACACATATTCTTTTATAAAAATATTTGTTCTCATGGACCCACAACCCAACTGTGTGTCTTTTGATATGCAAAATGAAATAGAGAACCAAGCAATTATCCTAAAATTTCACATTAGCTTCTCTTTTCACCAATGATATAATTGTGCATGTTAGTTGTCAAATGATTCAAGCTTTATATGTTTGAATATGGAATTCTAGAAGGCTTAGTCATCTGAAAAGGTGCAAATCTCCTCTTAAATATTTAAAAACACTTATTAATATATAAGGCCTTTAAGAAGAAACCATGTTTGAAGCCACTAAGGAATTATATTCAATATTATATGACATTGTACACTGAAAATTCCACAAATATCTAAGAATTAATGTTTCTGCATTTGTGTGGGCCCAATTTTCTAAAAGAAAATTTGTATATTATGAGTACTTTGGTAACATGTACCAAACATTTTTAAACATCTGTTTTAATACACACATATACACATAAACACCTTTTAGAACAAAAGTAATGAATTCCCTTTCTAAATTGAAGTATTTCCCCTGATTCCACTACATTTTTCACAGTTATCATGGGGAAATCCTTGGGACACGGCCTGATCTTTATTTCAAATTAACTTTTTCAAATGTAACATTTCAAACCATTTTAATATTAACCCATGAAAAGAGTTATTCAGATTTTCATTTGAATGTCATTTCCTATTTGCTTTATTTATTTAAACAAAGAACCATAAAGAAACAAATATGCAAAAGTTTCTACTTTCAAAAACACAGTTGGTAAAAAAATCTCACAGGATAATATAGTGTGAAAACATTTAAGGATTCCTCCTCCTAATTTACTGCTACAAATGTACTATTAATGAATTTATGTAACACATAGAGGTTAGATTTAACTTTGTCTTCACTCATTCCATTTCAGCTTAGTGGTCAAAAAGGATCATGTTTCCAAGTAGCTCTACGGCAGTGCCTTACCAGTGTAGATGCTGGCATTGGAAGCAGGGATACCAAACTGGGACTCGATGAACTTGGGAATGAAGGTAATGAAAGCGGTTACAATGGCACTCTCAGCTGTGTATGACAAACTCACAAAAAGGAATGTCATGTTGCTTAAGATCCTGACAGCTGCTCTTGGTAGGTCTACAAAATGACAAAAATGACAAATGAATGTTATAAACAATGGATGGAAAAGAAAAGAAAGTTGATTGTTTTTTTGAAATGAACTGGAAATAGCCATTCAGCAATATTTGCCACAAATGAATAAAAACAGAACAAAATCTGAGGACTGATTAGAAACAATTCCCTTTATTAAACAGACTTTGGTTTTTCATTTTCAACTAAGATAAAGAAACTGAGGTGTCTAAAATTATACCTGTGCAAAAATGTTTTTAGAAGCAGAACTCTACATTTGACTCCTATTTCAAAAACTGTGTCAAGTAAATTATCGTATTTTCTCATTGATTAAAACAATGCTATTGTGTGGTAAGGTAGGATAAACACTAGACTGGTTGCCTCAAGATGAATAGTTCAAATCCATCAACCACTCTCTGAACTCTATACAGGATAGATATGAATCAGAACCGAGTAAATAACACAGAATGACATTCTCTGTTAAATCCTCATATTTCACTGTTGTTGTTGTATTTCACTATATAGGTAAAATCACTGTAGTACAATCTTCCATTACTGTTCTCACCTCACCCAACTATCACTTTCCTGGGAAAAATGTACTTCTGAGTTCATATGTCACCAGCCCAACGCTGAGGCTACCCATAGCAGAGGAAGTGCTTCATACATCATGTGGGCTACCTGGTTTTCTAGGCTCATTGTTGTTTTTGGTGTAGTTGTTAAGTGTTAGCTCCAATTCATAGCAATCCATGCACAACAAAACAGCCATCAAAACCAAGAAATTCACACTGATCCAGTGGTCCTATGTAAACCACTGGGCCTATTCCAAATTTGCCAGTTATCACAATACTGTCTTTTATGGGTCCAAGAGCTAGTCTAGGATCACATGATACATTTAGTTGTCATGGCTTTTTGTTTCCCTAGGCAGTTTCTCCTTAATTACTAACCTAAAAGTTTACAGTTTATACTCACACAGTGGTACCCTAGAAGAAAGTCCTAGCAATCTGCTTCCGTTAAGATTACAACCAAGAAAACCCTATGGAGCAGTCTACATGGTTGCACGGGGATACATGTATCAATGAATCAGATTTTAGACAATGGCAACAGGGTGTGTTTTTTTTGTTGCTGTCAAGTTGGTACACATAATTTGATGTGATATTTCTGAAACTTTCATGCAAATGCAAAGCAATTTCAAAAACACAAAGTGGAAAAAAGTAAATTAGGAACCAAACCAAAAGACACCTTTGCCATGGAATTGACTCCAAGTTATGAAGACCCCATGCTGGTGTTTTTCATCATGTTTCAATATGCAATATTCTGATTCTATCTGACAGTGTTCCACTGCGATTCATAAGGTTTTCAGTGACTAAGTATTCAGAAATAGTCTGTCTCTCCTTCTTCCTAGTCTACCTTAGTCTGGAAGCTCATCTGAAACCTGCTGGTATTTAAAATACTGGTGACATAGCTTCCAGAATCATCAACTTTTCAGTTAGTAGTCAAGTGCTAAGCCATTTGTGCCACCCAGGAATTCATGTTAAATCCATAATTTGCAACCAAATACCTAAATTTTTATACAGAGGAATATATTTAGGTAAGTTTCTTAATAGGTAAGCTATTTATAGTGGCGTCGTTGTAAAATCAAAGATGCAGTAAAAAGTATGATGAGAGATGATGAAAGAATGATAGTGATTATATTTTTTTATAATTTAGTGCTAAGACCTATTATAAATTTAATTAAAAGGTCAAGTTAATACTAAAATCAGCAAATGCCTTGTTGCTGTAGCTAAGTGCTGTCAAGTCAGTTTGGACTCATAGTAACTCTGTACTGGTTTTTTACAGAGCAGCTGGTGGGTTTGAACTGCCGATCTTGTGGTTCGCAATCCAGTGCTGATCCTACAGTGCCACACCAGGAGTCTGCAAATGACTTGGACAGTCATAAAATAGGAATACAATTAAATGCAAAGTACTAAAATTCAAGACACTATAAGGAGCTCTGGTAGCGTAGTGGTTACGAATCGGGCTGCGGGCCGCAAGGTCAGCAGTTCGAAACTACCAGCTGTTCCACGGGAGAAAGAGGAGGCTTTCTACTCCCGTAAAGATTTATAGTCTCAGAAACCCTGTACAGGGTCACTATGAGTCGGAACTGACTCCACGGCACATAACAACAACAAGAACAACATAATATGAAATAGATTCTACTTAGAAGTTACTTTTAAAAGAGGCATTAATGTCATTGACAGATCACTTGCTCTTTTCCAGATGCCCAACCATGGCCTCATTCAACTACATCATATCATATGATCATTCTCTAAAGTGTTCCCTTTGCTGTTCTTCATACCACTGCCCCTATCCACCTTCCAGAGACCGTTCCTGCCCCCTCAGGGAGGAAGTCTTGGGTTCTACCCAGGTGCTTTGAAAGACACCCTGCATTGTTTTACACATCACCTATTTTACATCTTATCAATAAAAATCCCAAGCATTTATAGAGCAATGATCCTGTACTCTGATTTTTTTTTTTTCCCCCCCACTGCATCACCAGGGAATCATACAAGAAATAATGCCTATTTTAAGGAACTAGTCTAAAAGCAAATTTGGGGAATTGATTCAGAGCAATTCAAAGACATGGACATTTCTCTCTCATACTTACCAGCTCTCATTTACTCCAGGAGGTTTCTGATACTTTTATGACCAAGATTAGCCTCATCCCTTCTTTCTATTTCATTTTTTTTTTTTTTAAACAGGTGAGGATTTAACTGAATGCCTTGTACTGCTCTAAGTTGTTGTTGGGCTTTTGTGCTTGGTGTGAATAGGGCTTTCCTATGCTTTATTAAAAACTGGCAGTGTTTGACTTTCATCATTTAAGTGACTTTTATCTACTTGCTGAATGGACACTTCCCTCAAATTCCAATTTTATATTAAAATTAGCAGTACCTAACAATTTTATAAAAGGACCAGATTGGTTCTTAAAAACCATTCTAATTATTGAAATATGAGGGACTTCAAAAAGTTTGTGGAAAATTAATTGAAAAATTAAGATAGTGTTATGGTCTATAACCATGAAAAGATGTATGTGGGGTCTTTGAGGCTTTTTGATGCACCTGTATAGATTAGATGGCTGATAATATCCATCTTAGGAGGTCGTCTTTCCTTCCTTTTCTTTTCCTTTCTCTTTCACAAATACCTTTACTAAGCAACTTCTACCAAACTACGAACTCAGGATTTGTTGCTGTTGTTAAGTACCGTGGAGTAGGTTCCAACTCATAGTGACCCTGCACAGGGTTTCCGAGGCTGTAAATCTTTACGGGAGCATAATGCCTCATCTTTCTCCCATGGAACTGCTGGTAGTTTCGAACTGCTGACCTTGCAGTTGGCAGCCCGACTCCTAACCACTATGCTACCAGAGCTCCTTATGAACTCAGGATACATACATGAAAAATTATAAAGGACGGCAGAAAGGAAAATAGGCACAATGTAAAATATTAAGAATTAAAATGGAGGCATCATATTCTAAGGAAGGGCAAGAAAGAGGTGCAGAGAGTTCCTATATCACCGGAAAGTCGAGAAAACTTTCACAGTGCGGAGTAAGAGAGTAAGGTAAATAAGCAAAATAGATAGTATTTTCAGTAGTGAGAGGACTGAGTAGAGAAGGAAAGAGGGAAAGAAAGACAGGAAGCTTTGGAAAGAAGGTTGAGATTTTTAAGTCGAGTGGCAAAGGAAGACTTCACTAAAACAGGGACGGTGTGAGTCATGAGCAGAAAGAATTGAGGGAATGGATGCCTGGGGAAGCCAAGAGCATGTCTGCAACATCTGAAGACCAGGGATTAGACCAATATGTTCGGCACCAAATAAACAAGTTGGCTGTAAGGAGATGGGCTAGAGGAGACAAAGGGGTTAGATCATGTGACCCTGAGACTTTCCCATGAATGAGATGAAAGGCCAGGGAAGCTGTGAGAAGAATGTGGCATCTCACAGGTTCCTTTCAGTTGAAAGCAGAACAAGGCTAGACGCAAAGGGACCACAGAAAGGAAGGGTTTTGTCCTTTCCTTCTCTGCAAGTGGAAACTATCTTCTCACTTGGGCTATGTCCCTAGACTACAAAGTAGAGCCCCAATTCACCTCCAGTCTTTCTCCTCTCTAATTTACCTAACTACATGCTGACAAAGGCCTGCTCAAAACTCCCCACCACTGTCTACTAAGAAAACATTCAGTGAAAGGCTAGAACTCGAGTCCTCATGAGAGAGTCCTACTTTTCCTTCCCAGATTTATCTTCCAGGCCTCTGACACCTACATCCAAGTCACCAACCCCAAAGCACTGGTTTGTTATTTTTCAATACGTCTATACAATCCTCCCTTCCTGCCTTTGCTCACCCTGCTCCCTCTACACACAATACTCTCTTCCATGCTCCTTCTACCTACTGAAATTCTCACCATTGTTCTAGGTTCATCTTGAACATCTCATCTACTCTATGAAATCTTTCCTGATACTTCAACTAGATGTTCTTTCATATCCCTCGGAACATCTGCACCATTGATTGGATCTGTTACTCCTTTAGAAAAAGGACATTAATATATTTTCATTTGTAGTGTCCTGTTTCCCTTAGTGGACTACAGGCTGACAAGAGACCACAGTTCACCCCTGTTCATATCTGCTAAATATGGAATACTGCATTTCTATAGAGTAAATACTCATTGAATTAAATAAAATTCTGTAACTTTTAGTGGATTCTTTAAGCCAGTTCACCACCTCAAAATATTTAGTCCAGGTTTGGAGCTGTAGGATAAGCACTGGACAGCAAAGTTGGTTTGAATTACAAGATTGGCGGCTCAGACCCACCAGTTATTCCTTGGAAACCCTATACAGGGTTGCAATGAGTCAGAACCAACTTGACAGCACTTAACAACAACATAAATGCACTGCACTCTACCACAGACATCAAAAGTCCAGCAGAGAAAAATCTGTTCTACTTTATGCTAATTAATAATATCAAGCATTTTAGCTTTAAAGATTAAAAA